TAACTCCTTTAATTCAAATATCATTAAGTGTATCATTAAAATGATTAGGACAAAAGTGTCAAATTAGGGGTTTTTTTTTTTGGGTGAGGCTACTGAGATACAATCATACATTTGCATTAAAAAGTTTTAAAAAAAACTTATAAAGAAATATTAGCATTTTTCTATATATAGTAACAACTTTAAATCGAATAAACCAAAATTAGAATGACTTTACTAAAACATCTGCCCAAGAGAGAGAAAAGGTCGACCCCGTAATCGTTTGAAGAAAGCGTGATTTTAATTAAGCTAATAGTAATCAAGGTGGGAGGAAAAAAACCTAATAGTAATAATAAAAAGTTAAAATGACCTTTTTAGGGAATAATGATAAGTTCGGTCAAAAGCTGGCCATGTTCTATATATTACACTATAATTAATATATTTAACGAATTCATCGTTCAATCTCGAGAAATCAGATAATGATCCTATGATCTATCACCCTCCTCCTCCTTCTCATCCTCCTCCCTCTTCCATAGCCTCCAAAAACTTGGTCAATCCTCTCTCTCTCTCTCTGCTAGAAAGGTAGAGAGAAAAGGTAACTGCATTCCACAGTAGTAATATTCCAATCACACTTGGGAACTAAACTCTTGTCTCGATGATTCCCATTTTTCTTTTATTTTTTCAGAGAATATTATTATAGTTCTTGTTTTCTGCTTAAAATACAGACAAGTGCCTCTCTCTCTCTCTCTCTCATCCCCCTCCTCCACATATAAAAACACAGACACGCTTGTGTTTTAGACAGCAGGCCTGCATTATATTCACATCATAGAGTAATGAATTGAATTGAATTGAATATTTTTATCAGACAAGAAGGGTATGTTCTGTTCTGTTATCATCGTCTACTTTTTTTGTAGAGCGGGCCGGCACAGAGACAAAGATCTCTTGAGGGTGTTGTTCTATATTGTCGTAGCAGCTTTCTATGTTTTTTTTATATTATATTTTTGAATGGATGGATGCAAAAGGGGTTAATTGTTAATCGTGAAGTTTGATTTTGTGTTTAGAGGGTGTTTGTTATATTGCAGCAAACACACAGAAAAGAGAGGTCTCAGGCATGGAAGCAGCCAAAGTTCCTGGAGGAGAGATTCGGAGACTTCATATCATCTACTTTCTCAGTCGATCAGGCTGTCGTATTGAGCATCCTCATCTCATTCGTGTTCACCATCTTGCTCGAAATGGAGTCTATCTCCGAGGTAGCTTTTTGTTTTAGTTCATGTTTTCACCCTGTTTTTTATTTCATTTCAGCCTTCTCTGTTTTCTGAAAATAGCCTTGTTGGGTTTTCAACTTATGGTTGATATTTAAGGAAACTGAGTTTCTCACACCTGATTCTCTCATAAAAGATGTCTGCTCATTCGTTTCACCTTCATCTGCTTGTTTCTTACTGGATTATGAACAATCAGGTCAAAAGATGAGTCTCTCAAATTTATTTTCTCTGTGGCAAACAGATATTAAGAGGTGGCTTGGTGAATTGAGAGGAAAGGAATTGCCAGAAGCTTTTGCTTGGTCATATAAGAGGTTCAATCCCACCTCCATCTCAATTTTTTTGCCCATTTTCTGTTTTTTTTTCTTCACTTACTTCCCTTTGGCCTTCTATAGGTGATTGAGGATCATTGTCCTCCAATACAATTGATATTAGGATCATTTTTTGAAGGCCAAAATATAGTTTTGCTCTAAAATCTTTTATCCTTTGATAATTCTCTGGTATTGTTTCTGCACATCAGAAGAATGAACTGGTGCATATTTATTTTCGTGAGTTGTCCCGAACTAACTGATATAGGACCCATGTTTGGAGGATCAAAATAGGGGCTCTTGTGTTTCTCTTTTTCTTCTCTACCAATCCAACTGTCTATTTCAGCGATCAATTGTACCTGACCAATATTGATTGGCAGGAGGTACAAGGCTGGTTATGTCTGGCAAGATTTGTTAGATGACGACCTCATCACCCCCATCTCTGACAATGAATACGTCCTCAAAGGATCACAAATCAGCCCCACCCTACTGGGTCTGTACTTTCTCTTGAAACTGCAATTAATTACTCTTTCCTCACTTTAATTTATAATCCATTTGTACATAAAGTATGGCCACCCATAATGTTTGCAAACCCAGAAAATTTTTCCTCCATAGGCATTTTCTAACCATAGTGTTTCCAAAAATGAAAATGTATTGGATTACGCAGAAACTGGTTCACTTGGTGCTGTTGATAAGAAAGCTTCCATTCCAAGGCAGCAACAATGTTTGAAAGAAGAACCGAAGATTCAAACATACCCACAATCTGCAACAGATACTCCCAGCAAAGTATCATCAGAAATCAGCCAGGAATCAGACAGGTCAACCTTAACTGATGAATATGATTGTTCGAAGTTTGAACAGAACCCTGATGAACAAAGCTCTGAGAGGCTGACTGAGAATTACACTTTGCCTCCTTTGTATCAACATCTATTGAACAGGAAAAGTAGGAAACAGAGGACAGAAGATGAGATAGTGAACAATAACAAAACCGATGCGCCTGATGATTCATCCTTCTCTACGTCATCGTCGTCATCATCTTCTTCAAAATTCTCCTTTGACAAGTGCAGAAGCAATTCAACTAGGGGTTCTTTTGTGTTTCGCAACTTGATCACTTGTGGGAATGCGGATGTCAGCGATGCAGTTCTAGTCATGTTGAACAAAAAGGGATCAAACAAGCCTAATAATGGTGAACTTAGTTCTGAGATTTGTAAACGGGATAAATTGGGAGGATCAGCTACGGGCTTTGCAAATTCCTGGAGTCATCAGAAACATCAGCAATATGGAGCCAGGTGAGAAAATTTCAAATGAAAAAAAATTCAAGTCCAATTTCGAGGGAAAATTGAGGGAAAATGCTGATTGAAAATTTTATTAGTGAGAAAAATCTGATAAATTTTTCTAAATTTATAAATGATAAATTTCTATGTATAAATTTTTATACGGAGAAAGTAGTAGTACTTTGCAAATTTTATACACAGCACCGGAATTCTAATATAGGTCATCTTGCTAGTAAAGCTTTCAATAAATGACTTTTGCCCCAAATTTCCCCAGTTTTTTATAAAATAAAAACATTATTAAATTTTTGCTTGGCATATCATGTTTATTAGAGAACTAAACAAGAAGCTCTTGGTACATAAGTTTTGTCTGTTTCGAGATAAGTTCCTGATCTTGTAAATCGGTATCAATGATCACTAGACCTAGACAATGCCAATTGGATGTCTTCTGTGAATGGTGTACTGATTTTAGATATTTGCGTTCAATTAGGCTTTTTTAATTATGTATTAATTTATTTGCTTCAAGGTTTTTTAAATGAGTGATGTGGGACCATGTGCTTGATTTTATGAAACACTGTAATGTTTTAAGTAACTATCTCCTAGTAACAAGAGAAATTGTGTGATTTGATGCATTGAACTTCGTTTTTAGCAGAAGAAGCTATGATGGAGGCGAAACAAACAAGAACAAGAAGAAGCCGGGCGAGTTCATGACTCAAAATCATCCAAAACCATTTGGTGGACCAACATGCTCGTAAGTGACTAAACTCGTTGACCTCTCTTGTCTTTCTTCTATTACCATTTCAGCAAGATGGAGTTGAGATTTTTTTTTGGGGGGGTAAAGAAGGGAGTTGATAATTATGTTCTTCAAAGATAAGTCATTTCTCAAGGCATTCAATGTTTTTATATTTGATATTTCAAATCCCCAAAATATACTTTATCTTGATGCTTGGATAAATAATGACTTTCAGAACTTAAAACTTTGTGAGCTATTGGTTAGGTCACACAGTCATTTCTTCTAAAGGTGAGAATGTTATGGCAGACGGAAACGATAACTCAAATTAAATTAAATATGTTCTCAGATTTGAGTGCCAAAAAAAAAAAAATCAAATTCAGTCAACGAGTAATTATACTGAAAATTATGGTGATTTTAGTGGGGTATAATAGGATAACCACTGACTAGTGGAAGGTAATATAAGATACAACATATGACAACTAGAATAAACCAAGTCAAAACTGCTTCCCTGCAGAATCTGACAAGTGGCATAAGTTAATCAAAGTCAGAATCAACGAGCAAGTTGACTTTTTTTAGATGAATGTTTGAATAATGTAATAGCAACTAAATGCACAAGCATGATTAATTGTGAAGTGGATATGATGATGCAGGCAATGCGGGAAGAAGTTCAGGCCAGAGAAAATGCACAAGCACATGAAGTCATGCAGAGGAATGAAATCCTTGTCAAAATCTGCTGAGAAGACAGCACCACCCAGATCATCAACTTCCTCCTACACAGATTCCACAAGCTTCCTGCCTTTTAAAATATGAAATAGTGCTTGGCTTCTATGTTCCCTGTAGCTTCTTATCTTAAACTTGGCAGTGCTCAATGATATCAAGAGATTCTTTGATAACTTTAGTTTACATAAATAAATTAATCAAATCACTCTTCCAAAATCTAGCATGGGACTCGGAGAGTATTTGAATGGAATCAAAACCATAATTTTAAAAATATTTTTACGATATACAAAATAAATATACGGAAGAGTTTATCTTAATTTACAAAAAAATATTTTTAAAAAATACTTTTTATGGTTATCAAACACCCCCTCAATTGACTTACTAAGCACACAGCTTGCCAGGAAGCAAGGGAAAACCAGGACAATAAATAATTGCAAATAGGGGGAATAATTCAGGCAACAGCCAAACAACAGCTAAAGTATGTTTGACATGGATTGACATAAATTTAGATTAATAATAATAGTTACACACATGATCAGAGTACAGCTCCAGGGCAAAATATATATATATATTTATATCTTGGGCATAAACATATGTTGCCTGAAGAGATCAGATTAGATTAGCCGTATAAACAAGGATAGAGATGCATCCTCGGATGAAAACTCAACACTATCACCTACTAGTGTCAGATGTCAGAAGTAAACAGTGTGTCAGATGAGAACACCATTTCCAATTTGTCCAATAAGTTCTCTTCATGAATAACCAATTCTTTAAATGCGACACCGTATCATATCGGATACGCTACATAATTGGTCGTGTTGCAGAAGCTGTTTCACGCCATATTATGTATCTATGTCAGTATGTGTGGTTTTGGGACATTTGCTTATTACTTGCTAGAGGGAATGGCAGAATTAACACGCTCCAACAGAAATCCATATAAACTTTTCCTAAGGTTTTCTACCCTACCGTCAACTTTGTCTCCGCCGCCAACCAAAGCATCTAACCAGTGATTCACCTTCTTGAGCTGTCCAAGAAGGCATGCTATCTCACTTCTTCCTTCCTCACTTCTTAACCCAAATCCACTATCCAAAGAATCCTCCAAATACTTCAAAAACCATTCCTGGGAAGCCACGAGTAGTTTCTCGGCCAAACTTGCTGCCTCTTTCAATCTGCTTTCTCTCCCTTGATCTACCTTTTCGGCATCCTTGCTCTTGGCTACTTGCAGATGCCTCTTCGAAGAAGGAACTCTTTTAACTGTTGTAGTAGGCTTCTGCTTGCTCTGAGAAGTGTTTTCGGTGTTCATTTCATCACGAGAATTTTCAATGACAATATAATGACATTTCTCACCATTCAAAGACTCTGCTTTTGCTTGTGTCCTGAAAAGATTGAACTTGGAAAGATTAGTTTGCAAGGCAGCTTGTACCCAAGTCACAGCATTCTTATTACTGGGAGCTTTGCACAACACATCTTCGCTTGGCTTTTTCTCAGGAGTGAGCATTAGTAAAGGATCAAGCACCATTCTTGCCCTCTGCAAATTCAGATGAAGGTCCAGGAACTTTTCCACAAGTGATCCAGCAGAAAGTGTCTGAGAAGACTGACAGAGTTCCGTAAAGACGCTGACAAAGTAAACTTAGTTATTGTAGTAGATGAAATTATGAACCAAGAATAAGATGGAGCAAAGAAAATTCAAATAATATTGTTAGGCCAAAGTGACAAATTTCCTCCCACGTATATCAACTTAAACAGATGATTCTGACAACCATGCAAGTGAATTTAAAATGAATACACTCATGAAATAAGTGAAACAACCGGATATTAAAAAACAAGTATCATGGGTAGTCAATATGCATGTCACAGGACAAGAGAGATGCAATTTTCCCAATAATATGCAGGAAGCACATAAAGGAGGCTAAGCATTATGCAAAAACATACCACATGCATTGGATCACAGTATCTGAAGCTGAAGCTTCTTCAAGGGCACGTACAGCAGCCAAAAAGGCAATGTTCTTATGACTTGCAACTTTCTGGAAAGTGAAGAAACCGAAGTCAAAATGTGAACCATAAGGAGTTAAAACATGGTAGTTCTCAACAAGAAGTTGGATCCCATACCTTTCCAAGGTTACATAGAATAGGAGGAAGGCTATCCCAAGTTGTAGATGGATCAAACTGAGTCTTGACATTGAGAGGCACCTTAACAAGATTGCCACGAACGTTACCCGTACAAGGCGATAACCTAGTACTTTGTGGCTGAGGCGTACTAGTTAATTTTGGAGAAAAGTTCTCATTTTTGTTCTTTAAGGGTGAGATAGTTGGGGTTGGAGGCTTGAGTGGAGAATCATTTTTAAGAGAAGCCTTCTTGTCAATCACCTACAGCAATAGCTGATCCATAAGTTCCACAAAAATTACAAATAAACGACAGGGATAAAGAACAAGGGCAAGACTCAAGTAAATTCGTTAGATCATAGCTAATAAGAGCTTCAAAAAAGAGCACCTCGAGTGGACATTTAGTGCAATCCAACCTACTTAATTGACACCATAGATAGTTCGTTGACATGTCATAAATTTATAGAAGAACTTGAAAGTAAGCGTCTAAAATTTTAATAAAAACATTTGCCAAAAACAAGCACTATTATTACACAACAACCGAAGGACCTACAAAGAGACATCGAAGAGATATTGAGCTCATACATTGATGAAATGCTACATCAGTCAATTCACTTGGTACTGGACTCCGAGATTTTTGGGTAGATCCAATAATGGGTAAGACAAATCATCAATTATGAATATATAAAAATATTTTCTAGGATGAGTTCTACAGAAAGTTGTGTCTGGCATGCTCTTCATGATGCGTTCAGTCATTTTCTCTTTTGCATAATTTTTCTCATATAATTTACCTAGTCATCATTAAAAGCTTGCGATAATCTGTTTACAAGGCCCCAGGGACATAAACTTTTCAAAAGCAAGAGAGTGGTGAGGGCCCTCAATCATCACCAATAGCAATATCTGAAACAAATGTTTATGATAAGTGAAGCCCCTTGGGGTTAAACACTATAGCGAAAGTAATTCTCGAAGTTACAGCAAAACCTTTTACTTCAAGCAGTACTTTCCCAAGGAGAAACAGAGCAGCACCACCATGCCAACAGAGAAAGCAAAAGAGAAAAAGAAAAAGTTTTCATTTTTTTCAGACAAAAAGACGAGGCAGAGAAGGAAGACAAAGAAACACACATTGGATGAAGTCGAGGTAGATTTCGATTTGAATCGTGAAGTGGGAGTCCCTGGACTCTGATCCCAAGCCCTTCTAGCCGAATCCAAGCTCAACCTTCTCATCTCCAAACCATTGTTCTTCAATGGCGAACCCTCTTTCGACTTAACAACACCCACCATTTTCTTCACTCCATTCTTGCTTCCTTTCTTTGGTTTTCTGAAATCGAGATTTGAACCAATAGTAAGGGAGTCACTTGAGTTCAAATCTACAGGATTTCCAACACAGGGCCTTCTGTTCGGAACAGGTTTCAAGCCGGAAAGAACGGGAACAGGGGAAGCAGAGTCGAGGTCGAGGCGAGTAACGTAAACGAACTGACCAAGTTGGATCTTGTCGCTGTAAATCAAATCCACGTCCTCGTCGGAAATAGAAACGTACGCGGAGTGCTTGGAGTCGGATACTTTAAGGAAGTACCCTCTGCTCTGCCAGGGATCGTCCCCTCCAGCGAAACAGGGCACAATCTCAATCACCTGAAGCAGAGCAGAACGGTGCTCGCCGGTGACCCTCACATTTTTGTTTCCCGCATTCTCCAGAAGCTTGGACAGAACCCCGGGAGTAAGAGACGCCATGGGATAGCTTGTTGAAGCTGTTCTCCTTCCTCGAAGACACTGCTTTTGGAACGTGAGAAGAAGCCGCGCATTAGAGGGGAAGACTGAAGAGAGAGGAGAAAGAATCGCTGTCGAATCTCAATGTGACATGGGAGAAGTCGCAGCTTTGGCAGAGGAAGACGACAGGTGTCAAAGGAAGATGTCTTTTTTGATGTAACTGGGCGATTTGAAGTTCGAGAGCATAGAGATATGGGGAGAGAGAGGGAGAGAGAAGACGCAGTTTCTTAGGTTTATGCCCACAAAGCTAGTAAGGACAAAATCTACGAGGCTCTCCCACAAAATATTAAAAAAGCTGCGAATGGAGTAGGAGTCCTTAACTAATTAGTATTTTAATTAATATATTTTATTGAGCATGGAATTTTTGAATCATAAAGTATGTCACCCATGCCCGGTGCAATAAACTTCTAGTATGTAATTAGCTAAACAATTACATTAAATATAATAGAATATTTAATTTTGAATGCTTTTTAATAAATTTTCATTTTATTTTTATAAAATATAAGTAAAGTGAAATGCTTTATAGTGAGTATTTTATCACATACAGATTTTGATGAGGTTTCTGGCTCGGGGGTCAGCAAGTCACAAGTGAGAGCTGATGAGCATTGTTTGAGGCAGTGAGATTGTTGTGAAATGCTTAAATAAATGGATAGAATGAAGGAATTTCAAATATTTATTGTTTATTTTTTATGAGGAAAAATATATATATTGTGGGGACCAGCCACTCTCAGCAGCCGCATTAGCATTGGCCAATGCATGCAGAGATGCAAATACTGTATTCAGTTTCAGAAATTTTTAAACCTTTGGCTTTTACCCTCTTTTTTTTTTTTTTTAAAGGCATTAAAAGTTATTGTCAGTCTAATTTTTCTAACAAGAGTGTAAGTGTGATCTCAACCCTCAAGTTCCAAGCTTACTTTTTAAAGCAAAAAAGAAGGGAAAGTCATTTTCTCAAGTTGGTAGCTTACTGTAGGTGGCTCTTCAAATCAGCAAGATGAGGTTGCTACTTCTGTTGGCCTGTTTAGAGATTATAATGATTCTTCTATCTATGTTTTTTCTTGGGAATTCTTCATGCCCTGTGGATTGTTTGCTCTAAAAGAATTAGGAATCTTGTCATTGAATCCGATGTTGCTAATCTTATTCAAGAAATTAATTTATCTACTATTCATGAATTCAATTTAGTTTGGTCTGCATTAGAATTCCTCATTCAAAATTCTATCCTTGAGATATTTGTTTCAAATGTCTCTACTAGAGTTTATAATGATCATGCTGACACCTTTTTATATAAATAAGATTGAACCAACACCTCCTATTTATAGAGGAGCATGAATACGGTTGGATTACAAGGTCTTTAACATTTATGCTAACACTTTAACACGCTTTAATTCCCTTACTGAGTCCGACAACATTCTGATTTGTATTTAGATGGTGGTGTTCATATTGATATACTTGGAATCAATTCCCATATGCTTTCTTAATTTAATAATAGGGTGTTTTCACCCTCCTTCTCATTAAAAAAAAAAATCAACAAATTGATGGTGTCCATGTTTATGGACCGTTTCAAGTATTGCTTGTCCCCACAAAAAAAAGAAAGAGTAGTAACTTTTTCATGAAAAAATGGCTTCTTAATAAATAATAAACACTCTCCAATCTGCTCTGTTACCATAACGTATTACTTGGAAAAAGTTGCTTTAAAAATAATTAAACTAAAAACAAATAAATATTACATATTGTTGGTTAATGTGGTGACCCACCAAAGATGGTACTATGGAAATTGCATGCCTGCCTTATCGACTCACTAGGAACTTTCCTCGTCTTTGAGTAACCTTTACGCTACTGAGAATCATGTTACATGTACAAATTTTTAGAAGATGTTGGGTCCCATGTGTGTGTGTGTGAACATATATTCGCATTACTATTTCTTTAAAGATAAATTTGCTTCAAAACTTCAGTTTATTTAAAGAATTTAGGGGGAAAATAAAGGGAACTTAAATTTAAACGAGTAAAAAAAATGATAAAAAAACAAGTTGAAAATTATTGAATCCCAAATCAGGTTTGATAACATTTTATTTGGTGTTAGCAATACTGAATTTACAAATGACAATAAATTTTTATTAACATTCCTCATTTAGCATTTAATAATTTCAAACTTTTTTTTGTCATTTTCCCAATAAGTTATGGATAGAAAGGTCATTTCAACTCACATTAGCATTCCATGTTTTTGAGGCTGGCTCCAATGACAGCCAAACATTTGTTTGGGCCTGATGACAGCCGAACATAACCTAACGGAAACGTGAGAGACGGAAAGGAGAGAAAAGAATCAAAGGAATTTTTGCTTCCTACACAAAATTTTCATTTTGATGGAAACCAAACAAACAATTCTTGAGAAAGTAAAAGAACAAGGACTCTGAAAATGTTGACAAATAGAGAGAGCAACATATAACTGGATTAGGAGAAACTAACTTTGACTTAACCAAACAAATAACTTCAACCTTTTTGGGTAAGTGAAATTAAAATTCACCAATAACTTAAAAAGGACAGAACTGATATCCCTCCTACCTTGAGCCAGAAATTGAAATATAATAAAAGACATGCATTGTAAGGCAAACTTTATCTAACAGTGTCTTTTCCCTTTGGCTTTATTCACATTTTGGTTTGTTCCTCTCCGTTATCCACTCTTCTTACCACCATCCCCTCAGGCAAGTGGAAAATGATCCGGTAATTGTTAGAATTTATAGTCTTTTACCATTTAACTTTGATAATATGACAATTTTTTTGGGGTAATTGTTGAGTATTTTTTGTTTTGATTTTGTATTATTTTGTGAAAAATTAAAACTTTTGATCTCACTATGGGAAGAAACAAGCTTCTTCATTTATATGAGTTGTAACGCATGCAAACAGAGGGAAAAAAACTGCTATGCTATCAGTCACATTCAATATCCGACTGGCTTTAAATATGATTTGTTTGCAATAAAATGATACTCGTGTGCAAGTATAAATGTGAAGAAAAACGTTTTAAAGGATTATTACACAAAGCTATCACACAATTTTTTCTAATCACAATTACTTAATTATTATTAGTAATAGCCATTGGATGTCAAGAGATATCCCAAAGAGAAATTAAACCCTCTAACTCTGTGGATGAAAAATATCAATCTCTTTATGCTGCTATTACTGTAACTGGAAGTAATGAGTCTCGTTATTATTTATTTGATTGGAGCTGGGCCAGGAGGAACATGGTGATGGTCCAATTAGACTAGGCCATGGCCCATGAAACACTCTGGAAATTCCCAAAAAGTTGGTGTCATTTCCTTGTTGTTATTAATTTAGATCTGCATGTTCATTAAGGAAAAGGGTTAATCTTTCATCTTTCACAAATGGGCAATCAGAAAGCAGACATTTCACCTCTTTGAAAGGCCTCTAAACTAACCAACCCCTTGGTTTGCTCTTTAAGAAACTCAGCATCACCACACTTCTCTTCTTCTTTATTCTTAGAGAGCAATGATATATGTCTGAAAAACACTTCTTAGTGTCAGAATAGCATCCACAAGCCAATCCAACACACTCCAAGCTTGAGTTTTCTTTCTTCTTCACCAGAAAATGAACTCTCCATCCCCAGCAACCAAACACAGATATGACATCACCATGTCCAGAAGAACCAGAAAGCAAACGCCTTCTGAGAAACCCAGATCAGAAAGTAATACTGACCCAAAGAATAGAGAAAATGGAATTGTGGTGTCTCTGGAGAATCTTCTGCAGGTGAAAGATGGTGAACAGATAAGTGACCATAAGAGCTTGAAGCAACTGATCAGAGGGGATAGTGAGAGTAATAATAATAATAAAGGAAGGAACTCACTTGGACAGCACTTCAATGAAGAAGAGAAGAATCTGCAGGTGGTGAAGAAGAATCAGAATGAGAGTGCACAAGAAGGCCTGAAGTTCAAGAAGCTGGTGCGACGTTATGCAAAGGTTCTTGGCCACATGATGAAGGCCAAGAGAGATCCTCATTTAGGTGAATCTGGAAAGAAACCTGTTTTCAAGTTACACAAGTAGGAAATTTTTGCTTAATCATCATCATCATCATCCTCCTCCTTTTCTTGTTCTGCAAGCATTAGCTGTACATCAGTTTGGTTTTTCAATCATTTTTGGCATATTCTGAATACTCTAGCTGTCATTTTTGATAGCATCAGGTTAGTGAATTTCGTCAATCCGTTTGTGTTAGATTTGATGTTTTATCGAATGTGTACTTGTTGGTCATCAAACGAGTCCATAAAGATAAATGTTGAATCTAATTAAACAGAATGATGAAATGTTTGGTGTCAAAATGACAGCTTGAGTATTCAAATATTTTGGATAATTGAAGAACCAAATTATTATATGAACAAGTTAGTTTTCGCTCTGTTTTGAATATTTGCTTGATTATTGAGCGATCAAAACCATACCAAGATTGTTATTTGCCAGAGATATGTTGTAATATTTTTGTTTCTAGTAGTGGCTGCATTTTCCCCTCTCTCTCTCTCTCTCTGTCTCTCTCTCTCACTGTAAACTAGTAATTATGTTCACATAAATTATTAATACAGTCCTCTTTCTCTATTTTTATTTTTTTATGTAATCTGGGGGAAATCAATTTGTTAAAGAAAGTAAAGACCGAAGAAAGTGGTCCAAGTTTATTTCAAAAGGATACTAACGTCGCCATTATTTTTGGGCTTGATTTTGCTTTCCACTTAAACTTGAATTCAAACATGTTTAGCTTAGAAGACAGTCCTAATATCACTGAATCAAACTTCATTCATGAGAAGAACCCTAATAAAGATTAGAAATCAAAATATCATTGGTCAGATCACACCACATAATTTTAATTTTATACGTTTAGATGGCAGATCCATCATCTCTGTATTTATATTATAAGTCAGCATAAGTGTTTTCTTTTTTTAAGCGCATGATGATATGAGACTTTCTTTGAGTACACGATGCCATGGTAACATTATCAAACGCCAATCGAATAGCTTTTATGAGACATGGGAAACACATGTAAACAATTCTAGTTCCAGCATAGCTATAAGCTACCTATCCATTCTATAGCGATCTTCTTCACTCTTTTCAATGAAGTTGTAATTTTTTAACATAAAAAGCATGAAGAGTTTGACAATTTTGACATGTCAAAAGGAAAAAAGCTAGGACTTTCACCTATTCAATCTAGAATGCGTAGATTGCCAGCATCGTATCTGCAATATTCACGTTACGGATCTGACAAGTAACTCTCATGAAGAATCATCAATACCCATTAATTTACCTTGTTTATCACTTTACATACCCACAACACAAACCAAGAGTTCTGTATCATAAAACTTAACCAGTAAGATTGTCTATCAGAACTATAACTTTCTGCTTAAAATAACCCAGAAAATGCAGAGAAATCATCTTTCTCCCTTCCTTAAGATTTCAGTTTGGTGCTGAATGTCAAAATATTACAAGCTTCCTGTCACTATTTTTTATATTTCAGCCCTGCAAAGTTCAAACTGTGTCTACACGAAACTGAGAAAGAACTTTCCTTTGAATGAAATTTGGAGGCTTTACATATTTACATTCATATTTTTCAGATGAATTAGTGGAGGCTTAATAGATGTAAATATCTTGCTAGAAAATAATGAAGAACTTCTTGAGGACTTCAATGTATAGTGCCTTTTGCACAACCTGATATATCAGAGAAGTGAAGCAGAATGACTTTCCAATCTTCACGGGCATTGAAGGACTACTCTAATAATGGCTCCAACAAAGGCTTGGGACGAGGGTGAAGATCCATAGTGACGGTGACTAAAACCCCAGCTAGCGAACAAATTGCTGGAAATAGTCCCAAACCAAATCTTGTGATTGACATGGGGAATTGTGTTCCATGGAGTTGATGGGAGGTATCTGCATTAATGATTTGAAAGACCGTGAACTCAAATATTCAGAAAAAAACTTTCTACAGAAGGTGCTATAAACACAAGATTATTGACTAACAGTACTATTAGCGAGTTCCTTGAATATCAAACAACGAAGGTTTCATGAAGCACGGTGTTAATGCATCTAAGCATTTGAATTTCATACTATTGAATAATCTGAAGCACCTTAAGAAATCTTCTTCGTTTTATTAATATCGTCAAGGATAAGTTCAACTCAAACTTTCACATAAGGAACACAAGCCGTTTTGTCATACTCACTAACACCATCACACCGAAGTTCATTAAGCTTAAGATATATGATAGAACGAATCAACCATACATTGTGCTGATATATTGATACTAAGAACGAGAGGCGGCAAAGAACTGACTTCTAATTCTTAATCTTTTTCTGTAAAGGCCTAGAGATCCAAATATATCTGACAAATACCAATCTAGTTTGGTAAGGTTTATAAATAAATACAAACTGTAAATCTAATTACAATCATGTCTTTGCTCGAAATTAAAATGCATTGGTTATAAATTCTACGTAGGCATTAATCACTATAAGACTCACAGAAGAAAATAAAGAAAGCGCTGGCTTGCAGACAATAGGCATAGATTAAGCATCTAGGCATTCAGAACTAGAATTAAAGCAGTGATTGTTTACCCCACTTACTTTGATAAGACTGAAGAATATATAAAGCAATGCCACATGAAATTTTGTCCAAGAAGCTCAGTGATCCACAAACAAATGCACAGCCATTAAGATCCTCTCCAATGAGAACATTTTGCATGCTTACTCCAGTCACCTATTGTACAAGCCAATAAATATCCATATATCATGCATGGTTTACAGTAGCTTGAGCCATGTTAGTTAAATCCTGGGGCAGCGATATCCATTCTAGTGTTTTCTCTACTTTAGAAAAAAATGGCTAAAATTTAAAACCAAGCAAAAGACGAGTCCTGCTTACATGTACTTCTACTAATTAACAAAGTATACTTACAACATGACAGAACATAGGAAGAAGGAAACAACGGAGAGTGTAGAAATTAAGTGTTCTTAGGAGGTTATGAATATTAAACCTTCTTTGAAGAATTAGATAAGCTTAAGTGCTCGTGCACAACAAATCCCTAGAAACACAATCCTTTTTGGTTACTAGGAGTGCTTCATATGAATCTATTAGGACGAGGTTAATAATGAACTGTTTTTATCCTATCGTTCTCCTTATTTACTAGTCTCTTTTTGTTCCAATCTTTATTAAGGGACAAAGACATGGTCACTAAAATGAATGCTGGGTCATTTATCTGAAATCTTAAGAGTTGGGACATTGTTACTAATATAATGCAAGAGGTCCAATAAGTTTGCCCCACCGAGTCAAGCGGCCTATAGTTAAAGCAGTTTTCTCTGTAATATGGCCGCACAAACTGATCCTCCTTCAGGCTTATTTTATTGCCTAATGTCAACACGTCCAGCTAAAAAGTAAAATGGAAAGTGCAATACTGGGATACCCTCTTTCGATAAGTAAATGATGTAAAAATAATGTCATACCATCATCAATGCATTTGCTATGCCAATAAATACTGATGCTATATACATGGCATAGCTCATATGTCTGGGCAAAAGAAGAACCACAACACCACAAAGTATCCAAAGAATGCCTCCAGCAGAGAAATAGGCCTTAAGACGTGGGCCAGTCCATGCAATCTCCTGAAGAAAGGGAACTAGTTTAACAATGGAAATTAACAAAAAGAACATCAAAATCCACAAAAGAGTGCTTATTTTATATAGGGACCTGTAAAAGTATAGATACGATGAAGCTGCAGATGTAGATGATAGCAGGAACCTAATTCCATCATCAGACAACACAATCAGCCATTAGTGTCATGATCCAAAGCGCATGTGTTCAGCAGAATTAAGTGATTTTAAAGAAAACGATATTTGTCATTTACCAAAGCTTTGGCTGATTGGCCCATTTGTAGATCATTGATAACGAAGAATGCAAGGTATGCCTGTGGAAAAGAAACCACTTTGACTTTTAAATATACCATTCATCCATGTGTTACTGTTAGTTTTCTTTGAAAATCCAAATTAGGGCATCAAGAATGCAAGGTATGCCTGTGGAAAGATAACCATCAGGGTGTTTAAAATACCATCCATCCACCCATGTCTTATGGTTATTTTGTTCCGAAAATCCAAACTAAGGCATCAAGTTTCTCTCTTGTTCATGTTCCCTGTACATTATAGAACCCCATGATGTTGCAAATCCATGGTATGTACCCAGAGAGTTAGCAATAGAAAGGGAAAGGAAGAAAAAAATGGATGGGGAATAACCTCATATAAAAAGGGGCAGAGACAGTGGGGATTAAAACAAGGGCATGATAGACAATGCATATAAAACTTCTTGTTTTTCATGAATTCCTCCTCTCCATCTCCCTAGTACCCAACATGACCTAAGTATATTCTTCCTCCAGACTAAAAATAGAAAATTTTTCTTTCTTCCTATTTCAAGATCAGCAGCACAACTAAGCAAGAAAGGACGAGTACTAACCTGCGACACATTGACAATTAATCTTGTGAGAACATAAACAAGAGCAACCTGATAATACAAAACTCTCTTAAACCAATAAACCCAAGAAATTCTTGCGTGAACCTTTCCTTGTACCCCAACCTTCAACCTACAAAGAAAAAGATAATAATGGGTTATTTCTCTTACTTGATAGCTATAACTACACAAGCAACCCATGTTGTGTAAAGTTTTCGTAAGGCAATGATAGAATTATTTGAACTATCAACAATGGTTGCTAGGGCTTCATCGAGCATGAATTTTGTAATAATATTGGCTTTTACTTAAACAAAGTTTATATTTGCCTCAGCAGTTGATTAGCCTAACTTTTAAATGCAGGCCTTACACCCTCTCTCTCTCTCTCTCTCTCTCTCTCTCTCTCTCTCTCTCTCTCTGGTGAGCGCATGCTTCTCCAGGGGCGGGGGCAGGGAGGGTGCAGTGGGTTTACTTCAGCATTATTTTGCTTCATCATTGCTACTCAAGGACAGCATGATTGATAGCTTAATAATTCATCTATGAGATAAACATAAACTTTCCAACTGTACTGTATGATTCCTCTGATCAATCTGCGAAGTATTAATTCTAAACATGAAAAAAATTAAGTCTACAGACATACCTGGGCTCTTTGGTTGCAATAAGAAATATGCCCACAAAGCAGCATCCAATAAAAATTGACAAATATGCAATCCAGCGGTACTGCTCATTTGAAATAGTAATATAATGGTTATTCTTAAAAACAACTCCCCGAGATAGGTTGAAAAATTTAGAACCATGCATACCTCATTCTCAACGTCAACGTAGGTTCTTACAACGTTGACATTGAATACTATGAATGCAATTACATACAAGCTGAGATTCGCAACCTACAAAAGATACAGTTCAATATATTAGTAATTCATATCAATAAATAATTAAAATATTGGATTAGATACAGGTTTGGGAGAGAGAGGAGGAGGAACGGGGAGATTTATATCAGAAAAGAAAAACCATTGAAACTTACCATGGTAAATGCATTACGACAACTAGCCAAAGCCACCCTGCTTGAAGAGTTTAGAGTGATGCAACTAATCATGGACCTATCAACAGGCAGGTAAAGCATCAATAATTCTATCCTTCTGATTCCAAGAATATGTAAGCTTTTTTGCCAGAGATTTTATTTATTTCATCTCCACAGGACACGTAGAAAGAGTTTGGAGCTTCTTGATTACGGGAAATTTTTAAAGAACCCACTTGTTATGATTTTTGCGTTACCCCATATAATCTTGAGACTTTTTAAGTTCATGATCACAAGTTGCCTGTGAAGCAGAAATAATCAACATCGCTTATCCAATATAATAACAATTCGGTTCATCAGAAAGCCCAGCAAAAAGAGAAAAGGAAAGAAACCGCCCATCATATTTCCATATGGTTTGTTGTTTTCAAGTAATTTTTTTCTCATCCCAATTTCAGGAAAGAAAACTTGTCAAAATGCCAAGATGATGAAGATAATTGAGGTTCCTAGCTTAAGCTGACCCGGGGGGGGGGGGTAAATAACAATTCAAATGAAACCTTCACTATGAGCCAGCCAACTTTGTATTTACGATTTTTTCTTATCAACTTTTGTTTTTGAGGTTTGATACTATAAACCACAACATCAAATGGAAAAAGACAAATTTGAGAAAATTATTACATGTGGGACACCTGAGTAGCAGCCCAACCCACATTGAAGATTGCAGCAAACACACTGTAATTCACAGTTTGAAATAATGACGAACTGGAGCCAAAGATTTTGCACGGTAGACAGCCCCCAAAAACAGAAGAAAATGAAACAGCCACCAGCAGAGATCCTGCGCCATGCCATATCTTGAAATGTCCAAATCTGTCCATCTATCAAGCAAGGCAAAAGAAATAAATCTTTCTAACCAAAGGATGTCAGAAAAGCTCAATAAAGAGAAAAAAAAAAAACCAAAACGAGCATTTGGGCAGTAGAATAGCATGAGGCAAATACAATCAATCATTTGAACTGGGGTTGTAAGGATATAAGAAGGCGCTTTGATCCAATAGTAAAAGGGTTTAAATGAACTAAAAAGTTTTATCTGATACTGGAAGTGGATAAGATAAACTCAGGTAGGCAGAATGAAAACTCAGCTTAACCCAAAAACTCGAAAGTCGCATCACTCTAACCATTACAAAGTCTAGAGCAATAAGGAGATAGAAGTAGAAGAAAGAGGAAAATGTTTATATACCAGTTCACCAGCGAAGACGGTAAAAAATCCATCAGCCACTTGACCAGAAAGCATCACAATAGCTGCATTGCTATTAAAAGGAGAGGAAATCTCAATAGAAATAAAGGAGAAAAATGTGGAAGAATCAAACAAAATTGTGTAGCAACAACAACCAAGATTTCATGGCGTTTTATAAAAAATGAATGTGCCTTCTTTTTTATCACCAAAAAAAAAAATGTACCTTCTGTTTTGAAAATCATAGATTGTATCAATATATATTTCACAATAATAAAACAGCCTGAACCAATGATCCATCAACAAGTACTATATATTGTCCATTGCAGGTTTTTTTACCCTGTATTTGTTCTATTGAATGCAACTTCCTCAGATGGGGAAAATGACACAACAAGCATATTTTCAAAATCAACGAGCAGCTGCAACATATCAGCTCCACTGTTTGACCAGTGCAATAACAAAAGGAAGAAAAAAAGACACTCTTGATAGTAGGTTGTACCTTGGTGAAAATCCAATATCCGTTAAGAACAATAACAGATAGGTAAACCAACAAGCAGCAGTTATGTCATTAAGCATGTGTCCTATGCCATAATAGAAAACTGGCCATCTTCCTAGGGGCTTAGTATATGAATCGTCTTCTTCAACATCAATACCCATCAAAGCAACTTTGATGAGCGCACACCTGCAAGGTGTAAATTGACACTTTAGCAAGAAAACTGAATCACAATCCTTCCTGAAGCTAAATTTACTTCTGGAGCAGTCTCGTTTATTTCTGGGTTTTTTTTACAGAATAAGCTCAGAAATGCACCTGCAGCTAAATTTTGATTCCTGCCATGCTTAATTTTGCGGAGAATTTATTTGGAAATGACAAGCAAAATCACCAAAAATATCACTCATCACAGAACATTTTCCTCAAATACACATGAAATTAAAAGGTGACAGCCCCATTCAAATTGTGTAGACATCTTTCAGCAGCATAATAAACATCCGAGAAGACAGGTAACTTAAAAGCCCCCAAAACAAGAACCGCTCTTTTGCAGTCCCTGATGATTCAGTGTTTTCAGTAAAATCCGAAGAGCGTGAAGCCACATAAGTAAACTAATCAGAAAGCAAGCAAAAACATAGAGCTTTTATCAAACAGACTCTCCCATATTCCTTCCACGGATAAAATACGTCATTTTGTCATATCCAAATAGCCATCAAGGTAAAGCTGGAGAGCGAGAGCAGTCGGCACATAAGAATATATATCAGCAAGAGAACAAAAGCTTTTGTGACCCCAATATTTGTTTCCTTAAAACAAACAAACACGGGGGAAAAGAAATATAACCCAGAATTATGTTCAGTATCCAATCACTGAGTCATCGAAATCGCGTAGGTTCATCAGAAAAGTGACCTTCTCTATAAAACTTTGATCACTACGGAGTTAACTTCATCCCTACAACACCCCCCCCCAAAAGAAAAAAAATGGATTCCTCATTCTAAGGATACTGGAAATAAGGAAACACGGAGGCAAAATATTTCGAATTCAGGGAATAGGTATAGACTATAGAATTATGCTTACAGAAATACGGAGCGAAACTGCGGAAGGAACCCCCTGATGATCAATCAGAGATAGCCATCCTCACAGTTGAAGTACGACTAAGAACCCGAACCAAGTTGATAGAAAGGACAAAACAGATATATGACCGTCTAAGCTCTATGGAGGCAATTTCCAAGAGGATAGACAACCAATATCTCTATGCAGAGGCCTGGAAGATAAAAGCCAATTATATTACACTTGAGTCTAAGATAAGCAGCAACAATTGTTGTCCTTTCCCAAAAGATCTCTTCTTAGTAAAGGGATCGTTTTCTTCAAATCTTCGGGATCACTTTCAATTCTATTTCTCCCCACTGAAGATGCCCAGTTACATGAATGGCTGTCATATATCAATCAACATCCATGTATGACAAAATAATTAAAAAAAACTATTAGCATTAACATCTTAATCTTTTTTGAATAGAATATAGGTAAAAATTACCTTATTACCTTAAAATTAAAAGTTTAAAATTTTTGGTCTTCCTTTGCGGCTGCGTGCACTGCGGGATTGCTTCCGGATCCCACCACCCCCATGGACCCTCCCCGCATCCCTTCCGACTTCCTGGAATCTCTCAGGATCCCTAACGAAAAGGGGTCCCACCCCCACAGAGCACTCCGGTGACAAAAGAAAAGGCCGCGTTGTGACGTGATCGACACGTGGCTCCATCCGTTGTCGGGTACTGTTTTATCGTTATTCAAAAGATATTATATTTTTATTCACAGATAAATAATTTAATTAATTTTTTTAATTTACAAATTAATCTTCTAAATTTTAATGAAATAATAATTAATACTCACTCTAATCCTATACTGCTATATTAATAATCATGTTTTCATAATAAATTGATAATCATATGGATTAGTTAGTTTGAATAAATATGCGAAGTGTGGTGTTAAGTAGTTTCTCTTTTAAAATCACTTTAATTTCAACTCTTTTAATTTATTTTAAAAAGCTACAGTTTTGAATAGAGAACAGTCTAAAATATTATTTGATTTTTAATGTATCAATGTGAGATAATGAATTTTTTAAAAACTGCGTGAAGTTTTTATATTGGAAAAGGGAAACTAAAATTAGGATATTGATAAGAATAGTATGATTATTTGATTCCTTTTTTGTGGTGAGGAACTGAGAATAGACCTTAATGAGGACACGTCAATGAATGTTGAGGACAGTCGTCTCTTGGCCTCTTCAATCAATTTTTTTCCTAGGTTGTAGTTAAATGAGCCACCGATTTTTCTCTTCCTTGATTTATGATTTAAGAAAAATCCCAATGAATGACAGTGACTTTTTCTCGGAAGGTGGGATGGGATCCACGTTTATTTTGAAAATAATGATGCTAATAATTATAATAGGCCCGAAGATAATTATATAATGAAACAGCCAGGAAGCATCCATATGGAGAATCTCTAAACAGAATCAGATAATTGCTCATATAATGACAAACTGAACCAATTATGTATCAATTTCATTGTGCTAAAGTATGCATTTGACCTTTTAACTTAATATAAAATTTTAATTTAGTCTCTTAACTTTACAAAAGTATACTTTTAGTCCTTTAATCCTAGAATTGTTAGTCTTAAATGATAATTTCTTATAACAATCATGATTATTTTAAAAATTAAACTCAATGTGTTAGTATTTGGTAATGTTTTATCAATATTGAAGAGCTCGATATCAACATTTTTGGTTAACGGTTGTAAGATTAGAGGACTAAAAGTTTATTTTTTAAAATTAAGGGACCAAAATGAAAACTTGTGTAAATATAAAGGATTAAAAATATATTTTAGCCATTTCATTCTTAATCTCCTTTTCTTTAAACATACAGTAATCTATCTCATTTTAGCAAAAATATTTATTTGGGGTCTAAACTAATCCAGATCAAGCCGAGCAAGATCACAGAAAGCGGCGCAACTTTATCAAAAATAATAATAATAATAATAACAACAACAATGCTGCATTCTCATATACATCTTCGAATCAAGACCTGTGGTTATTCAACCAGGCGTTTAGTAATTAGCGACAATTTTATTCTTAAACCTCTCAAGTGTTTCATATCAACCTCTCCCAAAAATTTCCTTCCCAAGACATAGCTAACACTGAACTGTGAACACGTGTGTGTGTGTGTGTGTGTGTGTGTGTGTGTGTGATGCAGAAGGTGGATTATGTGGCCTGGCATTGTGATGCATAGCATACATACACTTGACCATCAGAATGTAGTTACGAAATTAGTTGGCGCTGCCATTCAACCGTGAAAGTTAGCTATTAAGTTATCTACTTTTCGGATTTTAATACTACCTCCGGTCCGTAATATAAGATATTGTTTGACTTTTATTTTGGTCTTAAATATGAGACCCCAATCCACTTTGTCTCTTATATTTATACATTTTTTTTCAAAGTAATCATTCTAATAATGGTAGTCATAGCCAATATAGTTGATTAGTAAGGATAATTTAGGAAAGACAACACCTATTTATTACAAATAACTAACTTAACTTATTTCCTTAATTTCTTCAAATTAATCAACTAGCTCTTATAATTAGGACCGAAAGTAGTATAAAATTCAGTTGACTAATTTAAGAAAATTAAAAAAAATTACTTAATTATAACATACATTTTCTTTAAAATACTTATGTATCATTAAATTATATATCAATTTATAAGTAAGTGAAACTAGTTTGGAAAAAAACAATTAAAGTAATTTAACAACTTTATTAACCTTTTTAAATTAGTTAATTATGTTTTATATTAATAACTAGAGTTAATACATTCTAGTTTGTACATATCCCTGTGTGTATGTTTGTGTGGAAGCCAAGTTTTTTTTTATTTGTACAAATAAGTCCTTGCGTTTTGTTAGATTTTACTTGTGTAATGGAACTTATCTAGCGTAGTGATGATTAAATAGATAAAATAAATTTTGTTAAGGATGCAGAGATTTGATAATCAAATGAATAATCATAATCATTTGAAAGTTCCAACAGTTCATATATATATATATATATATATAATACATACAAATGGATAGGAGGAATCAAGAATCCAACTCTTACCACAAAAAAAGGATAAGTTCTTATCTTGATTTCACTCCATTTTTATTCCCAATGACATCATTCCAAAACCCGCCACCCCACAACTTATGATTTCTAGTACTTTTCCTCCCCATAATTGCTCTTTTATTACAACAATGACACGCATGCAGACAATAGAGCAGAATGAGAAACGTTCAAGCCTAGAAAGGAAAAACAATGAGACAATAGCTAAGTGATCTATATTCAAGTGAAGCCCATGAAAGCCCATACGTGAAGCCCAATTACCAAAGCATCCAGCCCAAATAGACTCCTCCTGTTCAAGAAAGCTTCATTCTTCTGTTGGGCACTCGCTGCTTGGCTGCTTCCACTCCCTCCACTTGCTGCGGCTGCATCCGATCCCACATAACACCAGCTCATGTTATATATTTATAATATTTATATTTTTTGTGTCTGTGCTCCAAAAATAAACAAATAATAAACAAGTAAACTAAAGACTAAAGCTAATCGTCTTGTACTATAATAGTTCTTTAATATAAAACTAGTTTCAGTTTTTAATATAAAAACAAGTTTAACTTTTAATTTGATCTTAAATATAAGATTCCAATATTTTTGTCTCTCATATTTATTAATTTTTTTCAGAGTAATTCTTGTACTAGTTACATACGTTAAAGATTCCATTAAATAATAGTTTTAGGTAATACACATGATTAGCAAAGATGTTTTAGGAAATACAACACCTATTTATTACAAATAACTAACTTGACAAACTTTTTTAATATACTCAAATTAGCTAACTAGTTTTATATCAAGGAAGTAGATGGAAGATTCTTTTCAAGTGAGAAGCTGCAAGTTGGATCCCAGTGTCTATTTTTTAAATAGACTAAAGTTGAGAGCAATAAAGTTATTAGCCTACCAGTAGGAGCAGGGGCAGGACCAGGACTTGCGCCGCTTTTACTTGAGCCTTTATCCAACTGATAGAAAATCTGAGCTTCTGGTGACTTGGGATCCATGTGCAGCAGCTCTGATTTCCAATTGTAAATAATGGAGTTCAAGTGTTAGTTCATAGTGAAAAAAGAAGTTTCACAGTAGATACAAGAAAAAGGCCCACAAATATAAGATTTTGAGTTAAGATGTGGTGTGGATTTTTCATACCAGGACATTTGGAGACATTAGAAGGGGCATTACAGACGTTAGGGAGGGTCATAGCGAGAGTGATATTGATCTGCAGGCTTCCAATGTCAGGGTCATTACGATCCTTAATGATGACACAGAGACACTTCTTGTTGTTCTTCAGAAGCTGCTTCAACCCACTGCAACAATCTGGCGTGGGAGACTTTGCCTGGCCTCCCACATATGGAAGACAAGTCGCTAGCCCTGCTAGCTGCTCTGTGCATTCCTCTTTCTCCTTCGATGAGTCTGCCATGGCGCCAACACAGACCACCACTAGTAGTGCCAGCAGACGCCAAGTGTAAGGGAAGAAGAAGACCATGTTTGGAGAAACAGAAACAGAATCTGTGAATAGGCTGCTCCAATTCAACAGTGATGTAGCGGGTTTTCTGGTTTTAGTGAAAGTCACGAGTGATCAATGGCTTTTGTATGGATTGGGACAAGCAAAGTTGGGTGAGATTTAGGGTTGGGAATGTGGAATGAAGTTGGAGGGCTTAAAATAAGGCAATTAGAAGTGTGGACGCAAGAAGAAACTGGTAAAGTGAAGGGACATAGTGGGTCACTTCACCAACCCACTAAAGCCAACAATGGCGGAACAAGAAGAGGCAGTGGCTTAAGGGAATGGTGGTGTGTGTGGGTTGGGGACGACGTATGAATGACACGTGGCATACAAATCATTACGTCATTTGATTGTGTTGATGAGGCTATTGCAAATTTGCAAACTTCCCCCGCTCCACTCCCTCTTCATACAAATTTCCCAACTTCTAATATCTTAAATTTGTTTTTTTTTTTTTTCCTTTTGGGTCAAAAGAACTTATTGATTTGGGCGGATCAGGACCGGTGAAAAGTAAGTGTTCACTCCAAGAGATTCGGCCCATTGTTTCTCACAGAAACAAATAATATTGGGCTCCCAAGTGGCAAGTTGCAATCCAGCCCTCTTTAAAGCGTACAAAATCACAGCGGTAAAAAAGAAATGGTTTTTTTTTTTTTTGGTTTCAAAAGAACCCAAAAAAATAAAAAAAGCA